TTTGCGGATTTTTTAAGGATTTTGAAGGATTTCTGTGGATTTTTGAAGGATTTCTGTGGTTTTTAAAGGATTTTTTGGATTTTGATGGATTCAACGGATTTTGAGGATTTCATGGATTTTTTCTGGATTTTTCCGGATTTTTTGACGAAGTGTACGGGATTTTTGGAGTGAAATGCCCCTCGGGTGAATAGTTCTTGTAACTACGAACGGTTATGTAATGGGGAGGTTGTTTGCGACAACGGGACGACGGTCAGAACAAACCTATTCAAATAATAATTGTACGTAGAAATAATTATGAATTTAGTTTTCGCAAGATGAAAGATGAATCAAGCCCTCAGTTTGTGTTATCAATCTCAACTCCTTTTTGCAAGATATGAAGAATTATCAAGCGGAAGCTCGAAGTTTGTATGTTATATGTAAACAACGAGTTTGAGTGACTTGAGTGTTTCATCAGGGGATCCAAACACGAGAAAACTGTATGAAACACGAGCGCGAAGCGCGAGTGTTTTATTGTTTTCGAGTGTTTGGTCCCCTGATGAAACACGAGAAACAAGTTGTTTACACAACATCTCAAACGAAAACATTTCATTGGCTTATATACATTATTATAGTATATTGTTGTGTTTTGACTTGAATTTGTAATTAGGATCTCAGCTATTAGATGAAAACCGTTTTTCATCTAACAACAGTGATGGAATATGATTTTTAGCGTGTTTCCTTGCGGTATCCAACCTCAATCATGTGACGAATTAGGGTGAGTTCATTCGCTAATTTGCTCATGAATTATTAATGAGTTTGAGATGTCTAGGTAGTTGACGCATTTCTTGTTTGCTTCGATAGTAAGTTTTAGGTTGTGATCACTGAAGACTTTGCAAATGTGTATTTTGATGTTCTCTGTTTCTCTCGGTGTTTTGTTAAATGCTGCAAGACCGTCATCTCTGTAGAGGTTGATATCATTGCCGTACTCTGGTGCAAGCTTTGACAGCAGATATGAGCCTACTAACTCACATGTTTCGTCACCATCAAAGCTTCCCATTGTAACGTCAAAGAGTGATTTTGTTGTTTTCTTGCACCAAGATGTATTTCTGCTAAAAAGTAGTGATCTGTTTGCTTGCATGATGATCTTTTTCTCGTTGTCGGTTATAGTATCGTATTGCGAAGCGAACGTTATGGCTTCATTGAGTAATTCTTCAGAAATAGATGGGTAGAAATCTACTACATCGAAGGTTATGAAAGATCGGGTGGGTTTATTTGGCATGTTTTTTAACCATGTGATCACAGAGTCGGTATTCTTCCTTTGGTTCAGGTTGGTATGTTTTAGGATTTGGGAGTTGATTCTCTGAAGGATTTTTTTGCTGATAATTCCGATTTCTGATTTTGAAGGATTTATCAGTCTGCAGGTGGGATTGTTGGGAAAGTTGGGTTTATGATCTTTTAATGTGATAAGACTGTCCTTTGTCGCTAACGAGTCAATACGATCATCAAGGCCGAGTTTTTCTGCAATTTTCTTCTTGGATATTATTTTTGTTCTAGTGTTTAATGTTGCTTTTTTGTAGGCTTTCGTTATTATTGTATCAAGTAATTTGTTATAAGAAGGGGTATCTAAGCGGTAGAAATTTGTTGTTTTATCAGCGGCAACCATTAGTTTGTCATCAGTCCTAATATTTGTCAAGTCTCGTTCAAGGTTGTTTTGGAATTCGTTGTGGTACTTTCTAAATTTGACATTTTGGATAAGTTTGAATATTTTGCCTTCGAATTCATCCAGTTCCTTGATCGGCGGAGGAGATTTCGTTGTGCGAAATCCAAAGGTTTCATAAACTGGTGATTGTGATGGTTTTAAATAGTGATACGCTTTCCATCTGACGCGTCGTAGAAAAGATTCTGTCTTATCGACCAAACATTTCAAGTATTCCTTAGGCTGCGCTATTGGTATGTTCTTAGTTGAATATTCAAGGTTGACGGGTTCCATATTAATTCGTAGAGTGCTCAACAATAAAGAAGCGAAATAGACAAGTATCGAGTTTGGAATCATATATGAGTAGAGTGCTCAATACCGTAGTAGAGCTGATAAGATTAGAATACAAACTTGAATTACCTCATATGAACTTTATTTCACTACAAATTTGTTTCGTATGACAAGACGGGTCTTGCCACACTCATCAGGTGAATTTAAATAACGCGCTATGTTGTTGCCTAGGATATACTATGTAAATGTTTGAGGTCAAAAGTGTTATATTACAGTGTTATTTATAATCTATTTATTGCTCAACAGGAATTTCTTCCTGTGTCTACAAATTGACAATAGTTCATTTCTAGAGTTCAAGGAGCTGAGTTTAGGATAATAAATAATTAGAAATTTTTCGTGCAGGCATAAGTTGCATCCTTTGGTTTTGTTTGAGTAGCTTTTACACTTTTTCATAATTCTCCATTTAATGGAGTATTTTACGCTAGACTCTTTCAAATGCCAGACATATTTACTTAGTTCAGTAGCATGTTTGTATCTGGAGTTTCTGAAGGAACTGGTGTGACCATTGTACCTTGTTTTGAATTCCCCTTCTGTGTGTCCTACATAGGTCTTTTCCTCTTTTGTATCGTTTCTAGTCGCAGTTGCTTGATAAACAATGCTGCTTGTTAAGCATTTACTGGAGAGAGGACAGGAATCTTTCTTACGGCAATTGCACTCACTACTCTTTTCAGACGTTTGATTCTTAGTTGTTTCAGCTTTGTCTTGTTTGTTGAGTACTTTCTTGTTATGACCAGAGACAATACAATGAACGTTAGGCATGCAGCTGTAGCTTAATTTCAAAGTGTTTCGATTAAATATCTTGTGTAGAGGGTGGTTAGGAGGAAAGGAATCGTCGATAGCTTGAAGAAACTTGTATCCAATGTTGGTGATGACATTGGAGTTGTATGGGGGGTTGAACCATATTATATTTCTGCTTCTATATCGTTTAGGTTTGGGTGGTTGGGGATTGTAATCAAGCTTGTAGTCGTAACCGCTTTTTTGTAGTGCTTCTTGATATGGGGGAATGGCGGAATCAAATGATTGCTTATCGGATGATATGTTGGATAGTCTATTGTTTATGGCTTGCGGTATTGATCGTAATATTGATGGTGGGTGGTTATTTTCGCGGCTTACGTATTGCGGTGTGTTTCCGGGTTTCATGTAAGGCTTGTATGATGCGGATCGTAGGTCAAATGTGATGTCTAGGTAGTTGACGCATTTCTTGTTTGCTTCGATAGTAAGTTTTAGGTTGTGATCACTGAAGACTTTGCAAATGTGTTTTTTGATATTCTCTGTTTCTCTCGGTGTTTTGTTAAATGCTGCAAGACCGTCATCTCTGTAGAGGCCGATATCATTGCCGTACTCTGGTGCAAGCTTTGAGAGCAGATATGAGCCTACTAACTCACATGTTTCGGCACCATCAAAGCTTCCCATTGTAACGTCAAAGAGTGATTTTGTCGTTTTCTTGCACCAAGTTGTATTTCTACTAAAAAGTAGTGATCTTTTTGCTTGCATGATGATCTTTTTCTCGTTGTCGGTTATAGTATCGTATTGCGAAGCAAACGTTATGGCTTCATTGAGTAATTCTTCAGAAATAGATGGGTAGAAATCTACTACATCGAAGGTTATGAAATATCGGGTGGATTTATTTGGCATGTTTTTGAACCATGTTTTTGAACCAGGTTGGTATATTTTAGGATTTGGGAGTTGATTCTCTGAAGGATTTTTTTGCTGATAATTCCGATTTCTGATTTTGAAGGATTTATCAGTCTGCAGGTGGGATTGTTGTGAAAGTTGGGTTTATGATCTTTTAATGTGACAAAACTGTCCTTTGTCGCTAACGAGTCAATACGATCATCAAGGCCGAGTTTTTCTGCAATTTTCTTCTCTTCGGATATTATTTTTGTTGTAGTGTTTGATGTTGCTTTTTTGTAGGCTTTCGTTATTGCGTGATCAAGTAATTTGTCAAGAAGGGGTATCTAAGCGGTAGAAATTTGTTGTTTTATCAGCGGCTACCATTAGTTTGTCATCAGCCCCTAATATTTGTCAAGTCTCGTTCAAGGTTGTTTTGGAATTCGTTGTGGTACTTTCTAAATTTGACATTTTGGATAAGGTTGAATATTTTGCCTTCGAATTCATCCAGTTCCTTAATCGGCGGAGGAGATTTCGTTGTGCGAAATCCAAAGGTTTCATAAACTGGTGATTGTGATGGTTTTAAATAGTGATACGCTTTCCATCTGACGCGTCGTATAGAAAAGATTCCAAGGTTGACGGGTTCCATATTAATGTGAGCTCAACAATTATAAAGGAGCGAAATAGACAAGTATCGAGTTTGGAATCATATATGAGTAGAGTGCTCAATACCGTAGTAGAGCTGATAAGTTTAGAAGACAAACTTGAATTAATTCATATGAACTTTATTTCACTATAAATTTGTTTCGTATGACAAGACGAGTCTTGACACACTCATCAGGTGAATTTAAATAACGCGCTATGTTGTTGCCTAGGATATACTATGTACATGTTTGAGGTCAAAAGTGTTATATTACAGTGTTATTTATAATCTATTTATTGCTCAACAGGAATTTGTTCCGTTCATATATATATATATATATATATATATATATATATATATATATATATATATATATATATATATATATATATATATATATATATATATATATATGTAAGATTAGAAGACAAACTTCAATTACTTCATGTAAACTTTATTTCACTACAAATTTAATTGTTTCGTATGACAAGACGAGTCTTGCCACACTCGTCAGGTGAATTTAAATTCACATCATCATAAATTCACATCATCATAAATTATACGAAACAAATTTTTAGTGTAGAAATAAAGTTCATATGAAGTAATTCAAGTTTGTCTTCTAATCTTATTAGCTCTACTACGGTATTGAGCACTCTACTCATATATGATTCCAAACTATATATATATATATATATATATATATATATATATATATATATATATATATATATATATATATATATATATATATATATACATATATATCTATAT